TGCAGGAACATTTAGTCCATCTCAGTGAAACTACCTTTAAAGAATGAAGTTATTCTATATACTGAATATATATACTTAAATTGACTAGGATGACAAATTTTATTTTAATTTAAAATAAATATTAATATAACTAATAATATGATTAATATAATAAACATTGAAATATAAATTAAATATTTTGTTTTAATTTAAATATAATTAATGATAATATATTATTAAAACATAATTAAATATATAATCTATATTTAAATATATAAGTAATGGTCAATAATATAGTTAATATAATTAATGATACATATTATTTAAAATATACTTAAATATTTTATTTTATAAGTAAAATATAATTAAATATTTTTAAATTTTAGTATAAAATAAAATTTGGCATCCTAGTCAATTAGACCTCACAATATTTGACCACAACTTCGAAAATTAAGATATCATTAATAATACTTTTAATGATTTGTATGGCATATGAACTACATCCCAATAAAGATGTTTTCTAAAAGAAGAGTAAGAACAAAAGTTTTCCAACAAACAAAACCCAGCAAATCTTTGCTAGAAATAAATTCTAAAAAATGTACTTTAAGAAAAGAAAAAGTGGGAAAACAAGTAAGTCTAATTAATGAAGATATATAAAATAATAACAATGTATTATGAAGTTTAAAAGCAATAACACATTACAATATTTAATTGGGAGAATGTTCTTAGGGACCTGAGTTGTTCAGGGAAGTGAAAAGGTATTGACTAACTTTAAATTTTGCTAAATGAGTATACAATATGTAATTTCTACAGAGTCCAACAAGAAGACTAGAAATTGAGTGCTGAGATTCCAATTTAGTAGAAGATGAAATTGTCTTTAAAATCCAAACAAAGGCAAGAAAGTAGAGACAATTAATTAAAAAGCATCATTAATAACAGTAGAATTATACCCAAAAACAGAATAATTATATTAAATGTAAGTTGCCTGAATGCTAAAGTTAAAAATAAATATAGCATAGCTGGCTTCTTTAAAAATAATCTATTTATAAGAAAAACATAAAAAATATAAAAGTACAGAAAAAGTGCAGATGAATGCATTACTAAAGATAAAGAATGACATTTCATGCTTAAAAGGTCAGTCCACCATAAAATATAAAAATAATGAAGTTCATCAGAAAAATATGATTCAGTAATAAATACAAATATAAACAATGTAAAGTTAGGAGGAATGTAAATGATTTGAATAAGATTCTCAATGTGTAGAAAAAAACTTAGCTCTAATAACAATAAAGCTCACATTATTTTCTCTTTTTTTGGTACCGGGGATTGAACTCGGGTCCTTGCGCTTGCAAGGCAGGCCACCGAACAGCTGAGCTAAATCCCCGGCCCCACATTATTTTCAAGTACACACCATATATAAACAAAAATTGACTATATGCTAGGCAATGCAACAAGCAATAAATTTCAAAGATTGAAATTATATAAGCCATTTTTCTGACTTCATATTAAAAATCAGTGTGTGACAAAGCTAACAAAAAGTTAACTAAAGAATTTCAATATGATTTCAACAGCAAGTTCTACGCAAGACTTAAGAAAAACATAATTCCAACCTCATATAGAAAAACAGAATAATTTCCAGCTCAATTTATGATTCTGATCAATGTGTTATTTTTCTGTCACTATAATGACACACCTAAAAAAAAACAACTTAAAGGTAAGATGTACTGTGGCTCGCAGTTTCAGAGGTTTCAGTCCATCCTATTAGGGCCCATGGCGACACAGGTCATCAGAGCGGTAGTACACTGTGGAAGAAGTCTGCTCACCACAGTGGCAAAGAGGAAGAGAAGCAAACAAACAAAAGAAGGGGCCAGGATTCCCATATCTCCTTCAAGAGGACTCTCCCAATGATATTTCTTTAGCCAGGACTCACTTTTTTTTTTAGGCCTCACCTTTTAAATGTTCTACCACATAACAACAACATCACAGGCTGGTAACCAAGCCTTTAGCAGATAGGTCTCCGGGAGACATTCAAGATCAAATACCCCACGAGGATAATAAGAAAAAGGATGTTTCAAGCCAATTTTACCCATGAACATAGACAACAAGAACAACATATTGCATATTAACCACAGAATCTAGGTATGTATTAAAATTATAGTACATCATGGCAACCACCCCCAGCCAAATGTAGTGTTGGTTTAATATTAGAAATCAGTTTAACCCTTTAACAGATGAAATAATAAAACCTATAAAATCTTTTATAAATGCAGAAAAGGCATTTTGATTACCTTTTCACATCAACTTATAGGTAAAACATATATTAAACAAAAAGCTTTGGCAATCTAGAAATACAAAATAACTTTAACATGACTAAAAAGGAAGGATGGGAGAGGGGAAGGAGATGTAAAAAGAAATAAGGTGTGCCATGTAACTATACCAACTACCATAATGTACCTTAAACATGTACTAATTTTTTTAAAAAGAAAAAAGTTACATACAAATACTCTAAAGTACACTAAAAGCTTTCTCTTTGAAATCATGAACAAGATAATAATGGCTGTCATCGCCACTTCCATTCAACATTATACTGAATTCCATCAGTGCCAGGAGAGAGATGGGGAAGGTGAGAATGGAAAAGTGTATTGTATCTGTCACTTCATTAATTCTACAATTAAGTAGTTTAAAACAACAAACACTTTTATCTCATTCTATGCTTTGGGAATCCAGGAAGAGTTTAGCTGACTCCTCTGACTCAGAATTTTGCAAAAGGTCACATATCAATGTTCCCAATACAATTGCAGTTAGCTCACAGCGCAACCAGTGATCACTTCCAAGATCACTCACACAGCTGTTGGCAGGCACCACATTATCACCTGCCACTGGCCAGAGATATCAGTTCCTTGCCAATGGTCTCTCCACAGAGCAGCTCACCCACCACAGCCAGTTTTCCCCAGAGCAGGCCAGAGAACAAGCAAGATGAAAGCCACGGTATGTTTGGAACCTAATATTACAACTGATGTCCCATCACTTTCGCCATATTTTGTTTCTCAGAAGTGTCACTAGGCCCAGCACATAACTAAAGAAAAGGGATTACACAGGGCATTAAACATTCGCAAGGCGGGACCACTGGAAACTTTCAGATGCTATCTACCATGGAAAGGAAAAACAAAAACTGTCATTGTTTGATGACATATATTGAGTGGTTCCACAGTGTAATGGTTAGCACTCTGGACTCTGATGACATATATTGAATGCAGAAAAAAAGAAAGCACACCAAATGTTTAGAATAGGAAAGTCTAGCAGGGTTACTAGACACAAAAATCAGCAAGCAAAAATTAGTTTTATAGTATATACAAGCAACACATTTTAAAATAACATTTACAATTGGAACAAATATCAAGCCATTTATCAACAGAATCATAACTGCTAAAACTAGAAAATGGGTACTATTTAATTTTTATAAATATCTGAAAGGATTAATAGTAATGTTTTTTTAAAGTATCAACTACTTAGGAACAAATATAACATAATATTTGCAAACCTTTACAGAGAAATTCAGTTTTTCTCAATTATTTTAAATTAATGGAGGGATAAATCATAAATCATATAAACTGATAAGGCTTAATACTGTAAAGACAGCAATTATTTCCTAATTGATTTATAGTCAATGCAACCCAAATCAAAAACCTCAACAACATATATGTGTTTAGCTGCTAAACTATTAAAATTTGTACAAAAGTAAAAAAAAAAAAAAATTCTACAAAAGTAAGAGTCCACATGGAAAAATGTTCACCAGTATTAATAAAACCAAAGTAAAATCATAATCAGGCACCATTATATAAAACACATGGACAATAGTTCAAACTCTGACAATAGTTCAAAATAGCAGGTTTTGGTGAGGATTTTAAATAAAATAAACTTTCCTGCACTGATAATGAAACATTAATAGGTACAACGACTTTGGGAAATTGCTGGTACCTACTGTCGGTTTCACACTGGAGTGGTGACTGCTGCTTTTGATCTCCCCATAAATCTGATATACTTTTTCTAAAAAGTAATAGTAAAAATGAACAATATCTTCCCCTACTGCTTATTCAAACATGTAGCCACCGTCTTGCTCATCCAAAGATGAGCAATAGGAGAGAAAATTCTGGAAAATAAACTCTACCATGAGAGCAGATAGGAACATAATGTACACTTGTTCTTTGCTCTAACAGAATGCCAAAGTCTGAGAATAAATCTTGAAACACTAAAAATCACCATTTCCTACTGATTTGGAATTTAAAGTGGTGTTCAAACCAATAGGAATACTTTGATCCATTTTTAAGTACAGTGAGCAAACTCTCCGTCAATTGTGGACACCATTCTGCTACAGCCAGGGCAGATCTGCAGAGCAAAGAAAACAGTGCAGAGAGCACCACAAGACAATTTGTGGGTGTTGCTCTCAGAGGAGACCTTCCAGGTGCTCCATAATCCAAGTGCTTCACTATTTTGCAAAAGGATAAAGCAGAGAAAAAAACGTGATAAAGTGCTCTCCTGTAGGGCTATACAAAAGCCTAAAATCTCACCTCTCATTTTCTTACAGAAATAAGTGATTTGTATGAGAATTGGCAAAGCCATTTGAAGATACTCTTAGCTGATCTAAATAAATGTAAAAAAAATCAAAACACTAGGTATGGTATATAAAAATATATGAGAACTATTTATTTACATTTCATTTAATTTCAAAAGATGAAAAAGCTGAAAATATTTATGAAAGTAGTAGTCTCATTTTACTTAGTCCATTTATGGTTTTTCACAAAAACAACAGATTTAACTTATAATTATAGGTCTCAAGGGACCCAAAGAATTTATCCAGTTCAATCTTCCATCTTTAGGGAAGAATGAAATTATACCATTGTAGGTAGATGAAAATCTACTCCACTTAGAGGTAAATGACAATTATTACATATAAGAGTCAACTGTAGTAAAATCTATCATAACATCCAACAAATCTGCAATAAAAGACACAGCCACCACAATACAGAACATTAAGAATTTTTTGTACAACACTGAAAAAATGGAATTTACACAGGAGAAATCACAATTGAACATTAAGTCAATAGCATCACAGTTAACAGAGCCCAGTGTCCTTCTTATTTAAGTATTTATACTATTCTTAAGACTTGGTTACAACAAAGACATCAATAACTAGGATAGCACATAATTATTTTATAAACACCATGAAAAACAACAAAAACATTTTTTAAAAATATTTTACACCCTTAGAATCTCAACAATTTCAAACATGTTAACATTACCACTATATATTTGACTCGATTATTGATTTGTACAACTTTACAAATCACAGTCTTACAAAAATACTGACAATGGCTCAATATTTTAAAAAGTCATATCATCCTGTATGTATATTTCAGTAGTTTATATTTTATTCACTATTCACTCAAAACAACAATCACCACAGAGGTCTCTAAACTCTGTCGTTGCAGAAGCTTCACATCCGAAAACTTCTAGTTCTTTGAAATGGCTGGAAAGGGTTTTTCAGTGCCCACATGAACAGCTGTGGTTTGGGTTTGGGTTTTTCAGAAAACAGAAGTGCTTCACTTTCTGGTGTAGGAAATCGTTCTTGGTAGACTTCAGGATAGGATTTCTGAAACTAAGCAAGAGACCCAATAAAAATGAAAAAGACATGGAAGAGCCAAGAAAATAGGGGAGTCAAACTTTCTGTTTGTTTCTTCATTTATTTGTTTGTTTATGGTACTAGGGATTTAACCCAGAGCCTTGGTATTGAGCTACATTTTCAACCCAGTTTTTTTAAGACAGGATTTTGCTAAACCACTAAATTGTCCAGGTTAGGTTTGAACTTGTGATCCTCCTGCCTTAGCCACAGAGTGCTGGGATTACAGGCATGCACCACCACACCCAGGCAGGTCAGCCAAATTTTAATGTAAAAATTGATGATCCCATACTTTCCTGTCTTTGATTATTCTTGCTAAAACATTTGATTTCATTTCTCTTTTAATCCAATTTTCAAAAAAAGCTCTTTTTAAAATCGTATTTCTTAAAATTATCCCACTGTCAACTATAAATAGATCTCACTTTAAAAATATTCACAAGTAACTCTGAGGTAAAAATAACTTATGTTCTATACAATTAAAGAAAACTTTGGCACAACTATGTTTCACCATCTCCCTGATTCTCCAACTCAACCTTGCTAACTTCTGTCCAAATGAAAGAATGTTCCGAAATACATTACTTTACAGAAAGCTTAAAGAGAGGCAATATATTCTTACTTTGAACTTTACCAATGAATTCTTCTCCAAAATTACTGAAAGAAAAAAATGAATAGAAGTCTAGAACCTTGATGCTCTGTGTAATCCTATATATGCTCTGTGACCAGGAATCAAGCTATGTAGTAGCATTCAGTCTTTAAGAACAAATACCATTCACCAGATCAATAATCTTTAACAATGGTCAAAGTACACCTACATCCTCTGAAACATAAGCTGCTGAGTTGCGGAACATCACAGCAAACAAAAATTTAGCAACACCTGAAGCAAGATACCAATTTGACACTGGTTATCCAACACCAATGGCTTTTACACTCTAGACATTTTATGAATTCAATTTAATTTAACTTCTTTAAAAATCAAAAGAAATCTGCCATGTCTGCTTCTCTGAAATAATTGCTCTCCTGATTCACATCGTGCCACATATTAAAAAAACAAATATTAGCGAAAGGCTCTACACATGACGGTTCAATAATGAAAAAGGAACTACATTGGAGAATAGAGATCTGGGAAACTGACCAAAACTATGTAAATTAAAACTTCTGGAATATATGAACTGAATAATATACTTTCCAAACTTCAGCATCTCAGAAAGTAAGAATTTTATGAAATCTATTAAAATAGAAAATAAAACGAAGAAACAAAATGGAGGAGGATAAATGATTTATAAATAATATCCTTATTACCTGTTTCAGTTTTTTCTTCTTCTCTTTACTGGAGAGCTTGGTATCTGTTATAACTTCCTCCAACAAGGCTGCCAAAGGTTCCTGAGAACTGTATGTTCTTTGGTATTCAAATTCCTCAGGACTAATTTGACGGCAAAATGAAGGAGCAGATAAAGTGATATCCATATCAGCTCCTGGGTATTTTATCTGAGGCCCAAGGACAAAAATTGATTTAGATAGATTATGGTGTGTCTCCTAGTCAGAATAGCATGTCATTCCTCAATTTGATTGTGAAAAACTCTATACTGAAAAGTAAAAGTGTTTCCATAATTTCTAAGGAATATCATTATACTCCTAAGTGAAATAAATAAGCCACACATGTATAAATACTAAATAGTTTCCCTGGTGTGAATAATCTGCAATAATACAGAAGATCCTAATAAGATTATTGACATTTAGAAATGGGAAGAAAGGAGCAAAAGATATAGAGAAGATGGGATGGGTAGGGGAAGGGTAATAAGGGAAAAGAAAAAAATGTGAGATAATGAAAAGATGAAAATAAAGTGTTTGTAGATGGGGAGAGAAGGAGGGGGTGAAGGGAGGGCAGGGGTAAGGGGAAAAAATGAGAATCAAGACTTGTCATGTAGAGGTACAAGATCCCAACAATGAATGTAACTGTACTGTATCCCTAAAATGTACCAATAAACTCAATTAAAGCTGAAAAAAAAATAAAACTAGTTTTAAATATAAGATTTTTACCTTTTTTAACCCAAGAAAAATAAGCCAACCAACAAAAAGAGTCTTACATTATTTTAAAGATCTGAAATACAAACATATTGAGTAAAATAAAATTCAAAACAGGTACAATGTTGAATCATATATTATGCATCATGCAGGCTCCTCCCACATCTGGAGAGTCTGATTCTCCCTGTCTCAGCTGGGGACAGACAGAGAGAGGCTCAGGTCCATATGCACAGTTATGCAGAGAGGTACCATGAACACCCCTGTGACACGTATTCCTTGTAATCAAGTAAAAAGAACAAAGGTACAGAACTGCACTGGGCAAAAAGAAAGAGGGAGAAATAGGAGAAAGAAAAGCAAGGACTGTGGATAAATCAACATTCCTTAAAAAACTTCATTTTAAGCAGGGAATGGTAGCACATGCCTGTAATTTCAGAAATGGGAGACTGAGGCAGGAGGACTGAGAACTTGAGGCCAGCCCAGACTACATCATGAGAAGTGATCTCAAAAAAAAAAAAAAAAAAAAAAATTACTTAATTTTAGAGTTCAGCATTTTTTTCAAAAAATATAGCACCTAACTATTCTTTAGTGGGTAAAATTCCCACTACTGCACTTACTACTTTGGTTTAAGATCTCTCACCCCAAGAAGCCACAGCTAAAAATGAATTCTGCTGTCAAAAGACATGATTATATTAAGCACATTCTATGCATGCCTCAATGTTATTTTCATCAGATCAATTAGAGACAACTTCAAGAGAGACAGACAAGAACCATAGGGAAAGAGATCTACTGTCTTGAAGAAAGGCAGGAAAAACTGAAAAGGGCCAGCATAAAGAGTGAGGTCTAGGTAGGGTACAACAGTCAGAAGCTAGGGCATGAGAAAAACACTAGATACAAAGCTTGAAGGGCGTAAGAAGAAGGCTGCAGATAAGGACATTAGAAGGCTGAGCTTAAAAAATATTGCCTACTTCACAATTTTTCCCAGGGCCAGCTTTGAAAGTGTGCCCAAGCAATTCGCTGGAATAGTCCAGACAACATGGAGTTTCCACAAAAACACCATTCAGCTGTGATATCATGTGGGGCTCAGTGGCCTTGTCATGAGAACAGAGATCTTTAGGCTGTGAGTGCCAAAATGAACAACTGTTCGGCAATTTTTCCAAGTATTTCCAAAAAAGAAAAAGTAATTGGACAACTGAGTAGTTACCGATTTTATTCAGTGCACAATGCAGTGCCTCTTCACAAGATCATGTTCATCTGCAGTTAAATTAATCATTCTGGCTCAGCCTTCTAATCTTCAAGTGATAGCAAAGGGCTCATGGGGCTCTGCTGCAGCATTACACGTCTGAGCTGTGTGTGTGTATGTGTGTGTGTGTGTGTGTGTGTGAATGCACAAACCTAACCAGAGCAGCACTGATAAAATGGTCCTGTGTGAAAATCCCATGGAACATTTCTTTTCACTTTTACTCTTTAAAAGTTGGGCTCCAAAAAATATTAGGGCAAAAGAGATAAACTAGAGAATCAGCAAGATTATACTTTTCACCCATGAAAATAGCAGAGATATGGTATGTATTTTGATAATTTTCAAAGTAGGCAAAGAGAAAAAAAAGAGAAACTCATTTCTTTATAAAACTGACCCAAATGTAAATTAAAACCATCAAATTAAAAGAAAGCTTGACAATATGCTATCAATACTTAAATGTCAATCACAGGGTATCACTTAAATAAATTATAGTATACCCTTATTATGGAATACTATGTTGTCAGTAATGACGTTAATGACATAACAATACTAGTAACAGCACCTGCTACTTTACATGTATTAAGCCATCTGATCTCCATAACAATCTTATGAGCTAAATCTTTGCTATTATTCCCATTTTACAGAGGAGAAGGAAGAGAGTTTGGGGCAGATGTGGAAGCAGAGTGACATTACATAACATGCTGTGTTAGATTAACTAATGGGCAACTTGCAGTGCCCAGCTGAACTGAATCAGCATGGTCTAGGCGTGGAAGACCCACCTGAGGATTGTTACTAATAGCCATAAAAGAGAACTACATGGGAAGATTACGGGCAGTTGATTTTCTATGAGAAGCTTGCTGCTAATCGTTTTCCTGACACAAACTTGGCTGTTGTCCTTGCAGAAGGAGCTTGAGGCCTTACTGTCACTGAGAATGGCTGCTATTCTTGTCATAGGAGCTCTGATCTTCACCATGAGTGCCACCTCCTGGCTCCAGTTTAGGTCCTTTAGCCTGGTGGCACAAATCCTTCACCCTCCAAGCACAGGCTTTTTGGCTTCCACCCCTGGCCTTTGGGTCTTCCGGATGTAGATCCTCCATATGGACAAGCATGAGACATTGCCATGGGCTCTAGGCCACTGGCTGGACTCGGGAAGGACACTGCCTTGGACTCAAGCCTTTGGCTGGACTTGTGTGGGATATTGCTGTGGGATTCAGACCCTTGGCTGGATTTTTGGGCTTCTAGTGTGTGGCTAATCTTTTGTACACCTCTGTGTTTGACTTTTTGGGTAATTATCATAAAATTATCCTATGAACTATGTGTCCTCTATTAAATGTATTCCCTTGACAAATCCCTGACTACAACAAATGTCTATGGTCAAACGGCTACTAAAGGGTACAACATGAACTCAAACACCTTTTAGGTACATAGTCTCTGCTCTTGGCCAATCTAGTGTCAACCAAGAATATTTGAAGATGTGGGGAATTTTTTCATGTATGGTTAAATGAGAGAAGTTACAATAAAGAGAGAAAAGAAAGGAAATGGAGAAAAGGGAGAGAGAAAGGAAGGAAAAAAAACACAATGAACTACAATACTACACACATTTTGCTGTAACTCTGATATATTTTGGCGTATATAATCTACATTTTACAAATTTCATCAATTTATCAGAGTGATAGCCACACAGCACTAACCAACGTAAGTACTCAAAGAATGCATTCCATAAGATTTTCAAAAACAGCAAACACCTGTAGTTCTTACAACGTGCCAATAGCTGTTATATATACACTTTGTACATAATTAACTCAATCCTCGTAACAAAAAGTCCCCCAAAGCCTAGAAAGCTTGCATGACTTTCCACTGATACTATTCCCTCCATTACCTGGACTCTTTGTAGATGAGCCACACGCTCTTCTATAGAAGTCTGCAAGGCCAAAGGGACTTTCAGAATCTCCTGGTAATTGTCCATCAAAAATGTCACCAACCTAGCAGCTAATAACTCATCCAAGTCTACTTCATCCTTGGAACACAAGATGCAATGGGAAAATGTCTGGACCATCTAAACGGGGACAAAGGGGTAAATACAGGATAAGTTGTCAGGGTTTTTTTATTTTGGTTTTTTTCTCCTTCCTCTGAATGGGATCCAATCTAGTTGGCAGAAAGTGATAATCAGTGAGAAATGGCATAAGTCTAATATCCTCCCAGGTACCTAGCCATCTTAGGCCGATGGTCTCAGAACTAGAAAGAACAAAGTATGCACCGCTTGATTAAGATAGTTACCTGAAAGATGTTCATCTGAAGAATTTTTTTAACTCTGCTTTTTCTGAGAGCAGGAATTTAAACACACACGTACAAATTCTGAACATTAGTACCACCATAACTTGGGTCACGCTGCACTTTTTTTCCTCTCTTTAGCAGTACTAGGGATTGAACTCAGATGCTTCATATTAATCTGTATCTCCAGATCATATTTTATTTATTTTGAGACAGGGTCTGTTAAATTGTCTAGGTTAAGCTCAAAAAACTTGTGATTCTCCTTCCTCAGCCACTTACAGGTGAGCACCACTATGCCACCTTCATGTAGCACTTTTAAATTTAATGTACTTTACAGCTTTTTGGTCATATAATATCCTAATTTCACTACCGATTTTTTTTTAAACCTGGTAAGAGTCTGTGCACCTCAACTATTACATCTTTTCCTAGTTAACCATTTTCTACAGTATTTTGGATGTATGCTTCACAAACACCTTTAAACAAAGCATAGGACTTTACAAGAAGTGCATTAAGTGACTGAACTTTCTTTACAGTAGCCAGAAATACAAAATAAAAAATTAACATAATTTCCATAGAATTAACCACTCCCTTTTTCATACTATCCTCTAGACAGACTTCTTGCCCTCTTTCTAATTTTATTGCTGACAATCTCACTTTAAAATTTGTAAGCGTGAAATCATATAATTTTGTTTAATAAGACTGGTGCTATGACTTAGCTCTGAAATGTCCCCCCGAAGTCACATGTGTTCAGAGGTGGGCTCTCTGGATGGTGACTGGACTGGACCCTGGGGTTCTATGCCCATCTGTGGATTGGTCCACTGAGTACCTAGCTGGAAGACTATCAGGAAATGGTGCTGATGAAGGGGCCACTGGGCATGGCTTTGCAGGATGTTATCTCCTGCTCAGACTCTTCCCTCTCTCTCATTCAGTTGCCATGGGTTGAGCAGCTTTCCTCCACCAAGTCCTTCTGCCATGCTGTGCTGTGGAGCCAGATGGCCATAAACTGAAATCTGTGCCTGGTGTCAGGTATGCTGGCTAACACAACTGGATTCTATCAACACACTGCAAATACTTTAATCTTCACTCACAGAGAGATACATAGGCAGAGACTTTTGTGTAGAAATCATCCTAGGGGATATGTGAAGAGAAATTTCACACATGCCTATGGGGAACAGCTGCAGTGTTTTCAACTGCTCTGAAAGGTTCATTAGCTCCCAACCCATCCACCCACCCAAAAGTGAGGTCCATAATCACACCTCTCGCACAGAATGCTCCTCGGACCTTACCCAGGGTTCTCTAAGGCTAGGCCAGGGGACCCCTGCTACTACCCAGAAGTTTACGAGGATATGGAAGGGTCACACTTTATGCTCAAGCAACTATGTTGCTCCAAGCTTTTTTTTTTTTTTTTTTTATGAAAATGAAGAGATTTTGTTAGTAAGTAAATTCTAAACATAAATTATTTAAAAACACATGCTGATAGAAGTAGAATCTAACAGGTGCTTACCAGAGGCTAGAAGAGGGTAAGGGGGAAAAGGGAGCTATTGATCAAAGGATACAAAGTTCCAGTTAGATAAGAGGAATTAAGTTTCAGAGAGATATTGGACACCATGCCAAAAATACTTAATTTAATGTATTATTTAAAAAATACAATATAGGAGGCCAGGGATTTAGCTCAGTTCCAGCTCCTGCCTCACAAGGACCAAAATTCAATCCCTGGTACCAAAATAAATACAATATAGGTATGCTAATGAATGTATTAATTAGCTTGATTTAATCTTTAGACCGTAAATACTAAAACATCACATTGTATCCCATTAATGCACACAACTTTTGTCAATTAAAACAATAATAAGAAATATAAACCCATATGAAAAACCACATGCTGACATTACAAAGTACAAATGAAAAATTATCAGGTGTTTTTAAACTTAATAGAAAAATATTACCATTCACGGACCATCAGACCTTACCAAGAGATGTGTGTCTTCCTCTCCTCCCAAGGTGTCTAGACCAACTATGGATTTTACTTTGTCCCTTTTTAATCCATTGTATATGCTGCATCTCTCTTGCTCATTATAATCAAAGCTTTGAGATGCTGTCTGTGTGGAGTGGGAAAGACTTTTCTTTCTTTATAGATCTTTTCCCTTTCTGTTCATCCTTCATTCTCTTTGTAATGACAGTAGGGAGCAGCTTACAAAGTGGTACAGCGGGACGCAGCATGTATCTCCACACTCAGTCATTCTGACTTACTCTCTAGTTTCCGTTATATTCTTTAAAACTCTGAGGCCAGAAGCACATGACCAGCCTGGCTGGAGAGCTGGATTTCACTCTTCCAACCAGCTGCCTTGCACCTTCCTCTAATCACTAAAACTAGTACACCTGACTCAGTCAAATTTCATCCCAAAAATTCAGGTTCCAGTAAATGCTAACAATGAACCTACCAGGGTCCGAGTCCCAAAACCATCACACAGGGGTGGCATTTCTTTATTTAAGCAGATCCTCGCCATCATCCTCAACAGCAGCTGTAACTTTCTCCTATTCTCAGGAGGCAGGAGGAGGCAACAAATCTGAAATGCTTCAACTGCCATTTTCTCTTTCTGCAACAAACCTGATTCAGAAAAGAAGTTTCATCTTTTAAAACCTATAGCCTACTGGACTCTATGTTGACATTTTTACAAAATATATATTCCTAAAACAATATGAAAAATTTTCACATATTCATATATACCTTGCCAGTTGAATATAGATCCACTGCCACTCAGCAATCAGCACAGAAAATGCAAATCATCAACCAGAGATAATAATGTACAAGAAATACAACCATGTGTCCCTCCCAGACACAATACAGATATAGCTAAATGATCAAGGCACTTTCCCACTCACCTAACCCCCAACACTCACACTGTTAGGGTCCAAGGTAACACGAGCAAGGACGTGACTGCACCATGACTGCCCTGCATGCTGGACTCCCCATGGCCAGCAGGCTCACCATCTTACGTGACTCTCACAGACTAAATACAATAATGGGGCAAATGACCCCAAAGTCAGTCCACTGCCAAACAACTCTGCTTCTTCCTGATAACACCTGTCAAATAAGACTTCCTTTCACTTTCCTGGAGTTAAATACCACACGATTCTATCATGTTATAATACCATTCATTCTCACTTCAAATATGGTTTTGTTAAAAATTTAGGATATGTAAAGCCAGCTGTGGTGGCATACACCTGTAATCCCAGCATTCTGGGAGGCTGATGTAGAAGGATCACAAGTTCAAACCCAGTCTAGGCAACTCAGTGAGCCCTGTCTCAAAGACTGAAAAAAAAGGACTGGAGATGTAGTTCAGAGAGAGGCCTCTGGGTTCAATCCCCAATATCTTAAAAAAAATTTTTTTTAAGGTATTTTAATAGTCTTCTTTCAAACCATATTTAAGGTTTTTAATAAAGTACTACTGCTTCCATTATTTCAAGTTCTCATTAGTTTTTTTACTTAAAGCCAAAACCATTAAATTACACTGAATAAAGACTTACTACCTTCTGTGACATCATGGAAATTATGATAGGTCTTAGAAATACAAAGAGACACCTAGTCCTTCCTGTGAAAAAGGGGAAGTCTCTAAACAAGTAAGTGCGAGGCTACTGCAAGAAACAACTAGGGGCACATTAGGAAAACAACAAGTTATTCAGTGTCACTGCAACATAGGCTATAAGGGCAAGGACTTATAGAAGTGAATGAAGAAAAGTCAGCACACTGGGAAACTGAGGCAGAAGGATTTTAAATTCAACCCCAGCCTGTCTCAAAAAAAGGGGAGGGAGGAGGCTGGAAATACAGCTCAGTACAAAGGTCCTAGGATCAATCCCCAGTACCACCACCAAAAAAAAAAAAAAAAAAAAAAAAAAAAAAAAAAAAAAAAAACAAACAAACAAACAAAATGTCAGCAGAGATGAGATCTTGGAAGATCCTGAATACCAGACTAAACAGCTCGAGTTTAATCCCAAAAAAGGAGGGATGTAAATTGACTGTATATGGAAGGAAAGGGGGAGAAAAGGAAAATTTTGGTTTACTTGTTTGTGGTACTGAGGATTAAACCTGGAGCTGTTAGAGCCTTGGGTATACCATTCAAATGCTCCTGTACTGCATCACCAACCCAAGAGCTTTAACAAAGGTTCTGATTCTGGACATGCACAGGAAATGCCACTCACTGACTGCTGATTATCATAATAAACTATGTGGACCTGATTTCAATTCTATGTAATCAAATTCATGGAAAGAAAAAAGGCCTCTGTTTTAATTCATTCATTCATTCATTTACCCCGCAAGCATTAATTAAGCCCTGACTCTATTCCAGGAACTGTTTTAAGTAACATACAGTGAAGGTAAATCAGGATTGCTGTCTGGATCCTGCACTCCCTCTCCATAGAGGATAAAACATGAGAGGTAGAAACATGATGGCAGGTGGAAAGACACCATGGATGACAGATAAAGCAGGAAAGGCGCTGTGGGGTGACGGGATACATATTTTGAAAATTACAATATTTCTCCTCTGTCTGAGGAGGTGACATGTGAACAGAGACCTGAAGGAAAGGAGCTTCAGCAAGAAAATGTGCGGAAGACACTGGAGAGGGGCAGCAAAGACAAAGATGGCGGCGACATGAGCATGTGCTCCGAGTGTCTGAGGGCAGAGAGAGGCCAGTGTGCAGAAGGCAGTGGGAAAGGAAAGGACCAGCCAGAGATGCGGAGAAAGGCCATGAGCCAGCCCACACAAATCTGTGCAGGTTACTGCAAAGGACTTCGGGTTTCACTGTAAATTAAATCCTGCTTCCATTTCTACGCTTCCTGCTTATTCCCTAAAGCCTATTGTGTTAGTCTGAAAATTCTTGCTTCTTCCAAGTTATAAACACCTTCAGAGAGTCAGATTTCATCCTACTGGGTGGCTGTACAAATAGTATATTGCTTTATGAATGAGACAGCAAGCTAACTGAAACTACAATGCATTTCCTTTGGCAAGCCAAGTTTACTAGTAGAATGCAAGATATAAAGATAAACACTCAAATCCTGTTCATCAACATTGTGTTATAGCTATTAAAAGTAATAAGTTTTGAAGTTATGAAATAATCACAGTACAATATTTAAGGAAATAATTGCAAAAATAATAAATACACCATTTATAAAAACTTTATTAAGATATTTTGACAAATTTTAACTTTATATTAAGGAATATACAAAAAGGTTGTAAAATAATCAACAATTTTTTATTTACAAACTTATTTCATGGGATACTATTACACAAATAGGTAAAAATTATAACTAGAATTTGTTTTAATTTTTTAAATACTAAATTCCACGTTTCAAGTTGATTCCATGGGAAGAGCCAAACTTGGAGAATGTTGTGATTATAGGCTTCATAAACATTAAATGAGAAGGTACAGGTAAACCATTTCTGGAATATACCTAAATAAACCTACCTACTAGGTGAGGAGAGACCATACTGGACTTACAGACATGCTAATAATGCAGTGGTATCCCTGTGATACGGAGACATCTTTTTCTTCCTTTCTGCCACTAATCCCACCTGAGACCCCTCTGTAATTCTTTCTAACTGCCAAGCTTCCCATCTCCTGTGAGAAAACAAACCAGGCCACTAATCCCCTCCTCCTTTAGATCCCTGTTTCTCCAAACTAAGTCCCTGCTTCTGACAGTAAAGGACCCATCAGTAACTTGGATGGAAGAAAGTCTCTATTGCCCACTGTTGGATAATGGGGAGGTGCAGGGTTGGACTGGTTACAGGCAAAACTAAAACAGTGCAAGCAAAGATGACGTTCCTGACACCCTCATTTTATCAGAGTGGAAGAAAACTGCTTAGGTATTGCTATAGTTTGTATCTGGTTGTCCCCCTAAAGCCTCACATGCTCGGAGATGGGACTTTTGGGAGATGGCTGGATCTAGGGTGCGTGAATCTGTATAGATAATGGGCAGGCCCACACTGAGTGTGGTGTAAGCCTGGATGGTCTATAGACAAAGTATTGTTATTGCTGCAGCTGCTGCTTGCTGCCTCCTGCCTACCTTGCCATGTACCATTTCTCCTCTGCAATGCCCTTCAGCCTTGCTGCCCTTCCTTGCAGCCAGCCAAATATGGACCAAAACCTCTATAATCTGTGATCTAAAATAAACCTATTCTTTTTCACTTTGTGGTATGGGGTATTTTGTCTCAGCAAGGAGAAAAGTAAGACAGATCTGTAACTACATCTTTGAAGCAAGTTAAGGTACATAATGAATTAAGTAGGACCCATAAACTGATAGATATTACAATATAACCATTCTTTTTTTTTTTTTTTTTTTTT